GGCCGGGACTCCTCGCAGGACGAGCGGGGCGCCTGTGCCCTCCTCTCCACCCAGCTGAGCTCGCTGCTGGGCGAGCGCCCCGTCACTCACCGTGAGGTGCAGGGCAACGAGTCTGACCTCTTCATGGAGTACTTCCCCCACGGCCTCACCTACCAGGTACTGGAGTGCCCAGCGGCACTTGGGGTCCTCCCAGTACGCAGCACCCCAGCCAGGCTCCCAGCATCCCAGACGGGTGCTCAGCATCACCGATGGGCTCTCCACACCCTCACTATTCTGCTTCATCTGTGCTGAGCAAGAGGGACCCCCACTGGGTGCTGGGCACCCTCAGAAGGTGCTCAGCATCCCTTCTGGGTGTTCACATTCATGCTGGATGCTTGTCATCCCCACTGGGTGCTGGGCACCCCACCAAGTGCTCAGCACACCCATGTGGTACTCAGCATCCCCTCCAGGTGCTAACTATCCATGCTGGGTGTTTGCCACCCCCATTTGGTGCTGGACACCCCATGGAGTGCTGAGCCCCCTGTGCCAGCAGGAAGGTGGTGTGGCCTCAGCATTCAAGCCCACCCGGCCCAGCCCCAGCCCCGGCCCTGCACCCAAACTGTACCAGGTGAAGGGCAAGAGGAAGATCCGGGCGAGTGAGCGAGACCCAGCCTGGGCCAGCTTCAACACCGGGGACTGCTTCCTCCTCGACCTGGGACAGGTGAGCGGGGTGCACCTGCCCCCTCCCTGGGCCTGCTGTCCCCATCTCTGGCCCCCAGGTCCTTCTCATGTGGTAGGGGGGAGGGGGGAAGGTCAACGTGTCCTGTGTGTCCCTCTGTCCTCTGGGGCATCCATCAGCTCATTGGGGTGTCCCTCTGGGTTGGGGCACCTGTACCTCCATAGGACTGGCTGTTTGTCCTTCTGTTGGGGTGTATGTCCATCTCTCCAAGCGCCCAGCCATCTTCAGGGGTGTCTGCCTCATTTTTGGGGTGTCCGTCTGTTGGGGTGTCTGTCTGTCTCTTGGGGTGCCCACTGACCTCTTGGTGTGTCCCCCTATCCGGAGCGGGGTTTGATGGTTAGGGTGTCTGTCCATCCATTGGAGTGTCCCTCTGCCCATTGCAGCATCTTCCTGGACCAGCTTCAACCCCTGCGGCTGCTCCATCCCCAGCCTGGCTGAGGCAGGTTGGGGACCACTGTGGGGTGGCTCCATCACCACTGTTCCCCTCCCTGTCCCCAGACCCTTTTCGTGTGGTGTGGGGCCCGGAGCAACGTCCTGGAGCGCAGCAGGGCGCAGGAGCTGGCTGTGGCCATCCGGGACAGCGAGCGGGGTGGCAAGGCACGCCTGGAGATCGTGGTGGACGGCGAGGAGCCACCCGAGATGGTCCAGGTACGTCCTCACTGGGAGGAGAGGGGGACGTGGGTGTCCCTGGGGTGGCTCTGTGACACCCCCATCTCGTCCCCTGGCAGGTGCTGGGCCCCAAGCCCCCCTTGCAGGAGGGCAGCCCCGAGGAGGACGTGGCAGCCGACCGGAGCAACGCGGGGGCAGCCGTGCTCTACAAGGCAAGGACATGGCAGGACACCCCCATGGCACCAGCGCTGGGCATGGCTGAGCGTCACCATGGAGGGCACAGGGATGGAGATGGCCAGGGGACACCATGGTGATTCTAGGGTCAGGCATGGCCAGGGACAGTGCAGTGGTCCCATGGGAGACGTGGGACTGGGCAACACCAGGGGACGCTGTGGTGGCCCCCGGGTGTATGTGAAGCTGTGGACAGCCAGGGGACACTCTGG